AGTTGGTTGGGAGCGCAGCTGCAGTCAGGCTGTGGAGCAGGCACTTAGCGAGTCTTTTCTTAAGGGCATGGAGTTATGAAGGTGCCTGGGAAGCAGCTCCAGCTGTGAATGGAGCAGTCCCGGGGTGTTTGATGTTTGAGTTGCAGGCACATCACCACCAGTCCGGCTTCACCCTGGGCTTTCCACTACTGACATTGGCCTGGAAACGTAACAACGCTTCCTATTGATTTCTGTGTGAAATGGGCTGTGCCGGCTCCACCAGCACAAACGGGACAACTGGCCCCAGTCCGCGCTGGCAGCCCTCACAGCCAGGGCTCAGGGCATCATTCGCTCCCGGCTTGAGCTGCAGGTTTCATTTGCAGTGAGTGCTGGAAGAGGTACTTGGCTGTTGGTCATAGAAGGTGGTTGCTCAATAAAATCAAACCCTGAGATCAATTAAAACTGTCTGCAAACCGGCATCCTCCTACCCGGCCTCTGCCCAGCCCAAATCCTTCCTTTTGGATTACACCGCTCTTCAGAGCTCATTTTGTTGAGTCTTGGGGTGACTTTTTGGGTTTTAACGGGAGGTGTAACCCACGGTGCACAAAGAACTCACGCACCTGCGTTGTTACAAGTTGAGTTCTTGCAGGTAATTTAAGCACCAGGTGTAAATTCCAGGGTAATAGACATTTATTGTGTGGCAGTGACCCTGGGGACCAGGAAAACCCAGGATTGCTGATCTGCTGTTCATGGTTTACCTGTATTTTCCCTCTCTGTTTCCCAAGGGTTTTGCAGACCGGCTGAAAGCTCCAGCATGGAAACAGTTTCCTCTGGAATTTCACTCTCCGCTTTCCCAGTCTCTTCCAGATAAAACAGCTACAGCGATACAGCAGCAAACCTCACCTTTGGCCATTCACCTCCACCACTGTTTACTTCAGAGCTCACCTGGAATCTTTGCCTGGCTGATGCTCAGCACAGCAATGCAGCAATAACTCTCCAGGCAGAGCCGAGGGCTGGCTTCACCTGCCTGCACACCACCTGAGCCTCAAAAACATGTTCCCTTCACCTCGCTTGCGTAGACTGTGTGCGGTTCAACCCGTCCTTGGCAGTACCACTTTGAAGAGGGCTTTTGTACCTGCTCTATGGTTTAGAGGTTATACTGTGTCTTGGGAATCCTTCCTCGGAGTCAGGTTCAGGGCAAGCTATGTCTTGTCCTGCAAAACAAAGCAGAAGTGCTAGTGAAGTGCTAATGGGGATTTGGTTCACGCTGCTCTGCGAGGCTCACGGTTCCTATTGAGCAAGTTGTAGCTGGGCTTTGCTGCCCTGGCAGTTGGGTATGGCCATTTTAGAGACATGAGCTGGTTCTTCATGCAGCTCCTCATGTCCGCCTTGCAAATCCCCACCATCAGCACTGGCACCAGTCGTTCCGTGAGCGGACAGCTCTTGCAGAGGAGATAGGCAGTGAAAAGAGGTTTGAAATGCGTCTCCTGTGTACTGACAAGTTCTGCAGGAAGAGGGAACCTCTGTGGAGGGCACATGCCATGGCTTGGGACTGTGCCACAGCCTGGACTCCAAACCAGGGCTTGTGCAGAAAGCTGTGGGGACTGCCTCTGTCTCTCCTCATCTCTCAGTCTCTCCTCTCTACAGGAAGGTTTTGGGATGGAGCAGCCTCTTCATGGAATGGATGGCTAGCAGCTGCTTTGCTTGTGGAAGCCTCCAGGTGCTGGGCTGATGCCCCCTACCACCGAAGAGCCAGTTCTATTCAATACCGCAGCTCTCATGGGTGGATGAAGGGTTGCCAAAGTCAGTATGATGGATGAACTTTCTGTCTGGCATCCACCTTCCTTTCCCTTCCCTGTTTTTGATACCCAGAAGGTGTCTCTGTCCCTTTGAAGCAGACACACTCCCACTTCAGCCCTTGTTACTCCTTAGCTCTGCGTCATCTCAGGAGTGTCTGAGATGGCAGATCTGGCTGCAGGACCAGCAAGAACATCTCTGCTGTCCCTGACTCTGGAGCTTTCCCTTGTGCTTAGGGACTTGCCCCTGGGTGTGCATTGGGTGTGCATGGAGAGCTGTGTGCTGGTGGGGCTCTCACCCGCCCTTTGTGGCTGGGCCAAGGGAACTGGAGGTGTCAAGCCAGAGGTTGCTAGGGAAGTCCTCAGTGAAGCCCGAGGCTGCGCAGAGGCCTCACACAAAAGAGATCACAGAGGGCTGCAGGAAGCGCACGGCCTCCAAAGCAGCAGCAGCTCTGCTCCCTGGGGACAGCAGCGACAGAAGGAACAGCACGTACGAGGTCGGTGGGCTCCTGCCAAGCCCCGGAGCCGCCACACCAGGGTGCTGATCCTGCCTCCCACTGCATCGCCATTCATAACGTGGGACCTGTTTAAATCAGCTTCCCTCGGAACAAAAGAGCCAGATTAGTTCTTACACTTGAAAGAAGCAGGTTGGGGCTGGTGCCGTTTCCTACATGAGTGCTGAGAGGCAAATCCCCAGAGTAAAATAGAATCCAGGAAAATAATAGTAATGGTGATTCATTCGTGTCTCGCATCTTCGCAACCAGCAGTGCGCCAGTGACCCGTTGCCATGTTACTACTGCTCCCTGCTCTTGAATGGATTCCACAAGCTTTGGGCTATATTTACCTTCCCACTCGTGTGACTTCCTTGCTCCTTTACAGACTCCCGTATATAAATACGGACATTATCACCTACGGACTCCCCATCCTCAGAGCCTCAGGAACTGCAGTGTTTCACAACGCCTGCTCAGATGATCACTTTACAAGGCCAGCACATTCGGTTGGTATTTAATGCTAGGGTGCACAATGCCATGTATTTTAAAACAAGGCTGGAAGAATGCAGCTGGAGGGCAGTGTCAGTATCTCCAGATGGGAATGGGCTCATCCTCCTCCTGCTGCCAGCAGGATTTAACCACGTTTGGTACAACAGAGCTGAGCACGCTTGTCCTTGGCTCCGCTTGCAGCCAAGTTGTATTCAGAAGAAGTTCAGTTGCATCGGTTAGCGCCAGAATAAACCACTGGACCTTGGCAAAGCCTTTGCTGCTTTGGAGAGCCCTGAATCTCTGCGTAATGCAAAATCCATAACACCCACAGTGCCTCACTACCTGTCTCACAGAGAGACCTTACCCAGAGCAACCCATTCATCAGAATGTGAAACACTGGTTCCTCTATGTCTGACTTGATAAACCGCTCTTTCCCTTTGCTCAGGCTGTAAACCCTACTTTCATGATCACAAAAGCAGACCTGTTTCTTATAAAACGCATCTACTGTTTGTATGTATCCACTGAAGTTAATTCCCGCTTCACCCGAGTGCTATAAAGCCGCCGAAGGCTTCTGTTGGCACATGTTTCAGAGCTAGGAAAACAATGTGTGTAAAAACCCTGATGTAAATCCATTGCTTTGGGGGGAAAAGTGCTTTTCCATGCTAGTTTACCGTCGTTTACATGATTATAACAGGCTCTGCACAAGGGAAGCTACAGTCATCCCGAAAGAATAAATAAACCAAACCAGTGTAGACAAGTTGAGGACTGAGGCAGTGCTGAGGATGATGGAGCAGCCTCACATGGGGGCTGTGTACCAGCAGCCCTGAGTCCTCCTCAGAACTCTGTTTGAAGCTCAGGGGTTATGTGCCCATCTGTTAGTGCTGTTGTGAGACTCCGACCTCTCTTTGTGCAGGCAAAGTGCTTGGAGGATGGAAGTGTGAAGGTGTTAGGTGGGAGGGCAAGGGGGGGGAATGTTCCCTGAGTGCAGATCCTTTTGTCTAAAAGGAACAAAGGGAACCTTGCTCTAAATCCCCATGGAATTAAATAACACCACAGCCAGGGCTTTCCTTCAGCATCCAGGTCATCCTTCAGCTTCCTGCTCCAAAGATGTTCAACTCCCAAAATAAAAAATAGCTTCATTCCATACAAATTAGGAGTTCCCCTTCAAATCACTCTGATCCAAAGCATTGTTAGCGAGGGTGTCTCATTTATACCATGTCATAGGAATCATTTTGATCCATTTTTCCATGTGGTTTTGCTCTGCTTTAACTTTGGATCCCCAGCAAGCTTTCCCTGCTGCAGGATTTAATTTCCAACTTACTTTTGTATTTTAAGAAGCCATTTCTTCGACTTTATTTGCTACAGGAAGGTTCATTTTGCTTTAAATGTTCCGAGTTTTTCCTAGTTTCAGTCCTGGGGTTTCAGTACTGCTGGATGCCATAAAACCAGAATTAGGATCGGTCTCCGATCTGGTTGCGTTTTGATGGTGAACACAATGCAACACATGAAAGCTGCGCTGGAAAGGTAAGCAGTTACGAAACTATATTTATCTTCACATCCTTTGCTGCTTCTAAGTGCAGACAGCCCCTGTCGTTGGTGATTGCGTTAGGTCTTCATTTTTTTCCAGGCTCCTTAAACCCAAGCTCCTCTCCTGTAGCCCTGCGAGTAACAGCGCTTGCCGTTTGCTGACCCGCGGTATTTTGCCATCTCCTTACCCCAGGGACTGTCACGTTGGTGACAGCCCGGCCGCGGGCACGAGGCTTTTTGTGAAATCTCTTTGCTCTCCCCTTGCTCCTGGGGACTTTTTTCCCCGTGGGGGACCCACGGCGGCTGAGCCCAGCGCCGGGAGCGGGGGGGGGGGCTCGGGGGAACTTTTGGTCCTCGTTTGGCTGAGCCCAGCGCCCCGGGGCTGGATCACCGGGGGCCGTGCAGGGGCCGAGGCAAGTCCCGGGGCCGGGCGGTGCGGAGGTGCCGTCCCGGGGCCCGCCGGTTCCCGGCCAATCGGCTCAGCTCCGCGCTCTCCCCGCCCCGCTCGCCCCATGTGCAGAAATAGCCCCGCCGCGGCCGGCAGCGGCTTTCTGCGGGGAGCGGGCGGGAGGGCGGCAGCGGAGCATCCCCGGGCGGAGCAGCGGCGTCCGTCCCGTCCCGTCCCGCCCCGCCCCGAGGTGCCCCGAGGATGGCCCCGCGGCGGGCGCAGCGGCCGGGCCCGGCGGCGGGCGGGCAGTGAACGGAGCCCCCGGGAGCGCGGATGCCGGCCGGGGGCCGGGCGCTGCGGGCAGCGGGGGGCCGCGGGCCGGGGCTCGCTGCGCCCCTCGGGCCCCCCAGGGCCGGGCGGGAGGCGGCGGTGAGCCCGGACATGGGTGTTTGTCTCCGGGCAGCGCTGCCCCGTGGCCTGTTGGTACCTGCGGGCGGGCGCCCGGTGGAAAGTACCTTTTTCTCATGAACGGTTCTAGTTCCTCGCCCTGGGCTCTCGCCATGGACACTATGAAAACCACTTACATCGTGCTGGAACTGATCATCGCTGTGCTCTCCATCGCTGGCAATGTCCTGGTCTGCTGGGCAGTGGCCATCAACAGCACCTTGAAGAATGCCACCAACTATTTCCTGGTGTCTCTGGCGGTGGCTGACATTGCCGTGGGTTTGTTAGCCATCCCTTTCGCCATCACCATCAGCATTGGATTCGAGGTGGATTTTCACAGCTGCCTCTTCTTCGCCTGCTTCGTGCTGGTGCTGACCCAAAGCTCCATTTTCAGCTTGCTAGCGGTGGCCATCGACAGGTACCTGGCTATTAAGATCCCACTGAGGTAAGAGGCTGGAGTGGATGCAGGTAGCCACATTCCCTGAGAGCCCAGACTGTGATCTTCCTTGTTCTAGCGTGCAGGGACTGCTGGTCTCTAGAGGTTTGAGGGTCATGGTGCTGATGAAAAGAACCGGGATTTTGCACTTACTTGCTGCAGGACTGAGATCGGGGTTCCAGTATCCTGCCTCTCACTTCAAAATGCACCTGATAGCTCAGTTTCTGCAGGATGTCTGCTCTGGGAAGGTCATGAGTCGGTGGGGTAATTCAGGAGTGTGCTTGGAATAGATGTAGCTAATCTATGCAGGTATTTATACAGCCCCCATTACTGTGGTGTCGGGGCATCTCCCAGGTAACTAAATATAGGAGCACCCACCATTCCTCCTATTTTCCAGCCTATTAGAGAAGTGGTGATGTAGGCTGTTCTGTAAAAGTTCTTGTCTCTTCCTCAGCTCAGGTCACAGTACATTCAGAAAAGCTGAAAGTTATCTTAAATAGATTTTAATGTGACTTTGTACACACTTCACATTTTCAGCCAGGACTGGAGTCTAACCAGGCTGTCTTCCACTTTTTAGGGGGCTAGAATTGGACTGAAAGCACAATCTGTTGCATCTATAGATGCTGAAACCGTATTTCCATGCTTGCATACATACCTTTTCCTTCTGAGTGCTTATCACGAGTCTATAGAGCAGTAAATGTCAGAAGGTGTCAGCTCTGTGCATACCCTGAAAGGAAAAGAGGGAAAGAGAAAGGTTTCGCACATCGAACTGTTTTACTGCTTAGACTTCCATCCCAGTGCAGCATCAAAGACATAAGCTGGTTTCCTTGTAATTTATGGGATGTTGCAACATCATGGGGCAAACTATCAAATGTAATTTACAGGCACTTCCCCAGTGAGTTGCTGCAGCAGCTGCCTTAAGCTTAAATGCAACAACCCCCCGGCTTTGCATTACAAATGACCCGAGTCCATTGGTCTCAGTCTCCTTCATGTCTCTGTTGTCCCTCCCTGAGAGTAAGACACATCATTGATGGAGCAGGAGTCCAGGACTGCTCCAGGGTTGGTGTAGGGACCTCAGCTGAACTGTGTGAGCTGCAGCTTTCCTCCACTCTGCTCATCTCTGGTATCTCCCTTGCATGAGTGATGACCTAAAATGACTTAAAAAAAACCCTTTCACCCTGTTCTGGCACCTCGTGCTGGAGAACCCCCATCTGTTGGGCAAACATGAATCAGGCATCGGGCAGATGATAAAGTCTGGTAGTGGAAACGTGCGTGTGCTGCGTGGCTCTGTCACTGCAGCAGCGCACACGGAAATTCCACAGGATGTAGGGTAAGCAAGAGCAGATCGGCAGCACCCCTTGATGCAGAGGCAGCGGGGTCAGAGCTGCTCACACCCTGCAGCTCCTCTGACACGGCTGCTTGCCTTCACAGCCCCCCACCTGTACTGGAATACACTGCTCCGGATAACGCTGGGGTGCCTCTTCCATCCTCTCCTTGGCCTTTCTCGGGATGGGGGCAGCAGCCATGGGAGCAGGTTGGAGTTTTGGGGTTTCAGTTTAACCACAAGCAGGCTGCTCAAGCACGGCTGTAATTCTCATCCTTTGAACCACAAGGGCTTTTTTGCAGAGCTTAACTGAGGAAATTGGATCTTGTGAGGGATTCGAGGGGAGAGCAGCAGCTCCGAAATGCTCTGATGGGATCATTCACACGGCTGTGGAAGGGAAGTGGTTTTGCTGAGTATTTCTTCCACTCTCTTTTCTTCTTACTTTTCCCCCCCTCAGTGCTGGTCCCTGGTAGCTTTGCTCAGCTCTCCAGGAGCTCAGCTCATACACCTGTGTGGGATGACATCCCAGGGCAGTTTTGCCTTGCTTCAGGGCTGCTTTTTCACCCCCTCTTAGGCCAAAACTCCATTTGCACAAACATCTTTATTCCTGTGAGTGCTTTTTACTCCCTTCAGCTGTAAATGGAGATCAAGGAGTCCCACCCTAGGTTGGTCTAAATAATGAAGTTTGCATTAAACTTGGTCTTGGCATTGAGGCTCATTTTATTGCTTTCAGAGGTGTCAGAGAAGTAAAACTCCTTTGTAAGGAGGGAGGTTTCTCCCTGCTAGGAGTGCAGGGCAATGGACAGGGCATTGCTTTGGCAACAAGAGGTTTAGGGGCTGGTACTGAAAGGCCGCTTTTATTTGCACAGCCAAGATCAAGAGAGGATAGGGGAGGTTATAGAACTCCACTGGCAAAACGCTTCTCTACGGCACTAGGGCTAGAGCTGTCTCATCAGCATCGCTACTCCTGGGATGCTCCACGGTGTTGCCAGCAGCAAGCAGGAAGGAACTTGTCCGTCCACCCGCCCTGGGTAGATGCACGTGGTGTTTCTGGAAGGAGCTTTGTGCTGTGGGAAGGGAACGGTGTCCATCACTTTGTAGGAATGGGAACCTTAGGGATAGTGTTTCTCACTGAAACGCTCGTTCTGGAGACCAGCGCAGGGGCTGGTAAGAGGCTGTGAAGTATCAAACGCCTCAGGAACTGATTTTGCCCCAGTGCTAGTGAGTAATTCCAGAACAGCAGTGGCAGAGTGGCCAAGTGTCCGCGCTGCATCCAGCGCTCCACCAGCTCCCTGTGGAAACCTCTGCAGGGACACTGGCAACTGACTGTGCCGCGTTACTTAATACAATTTCAGGGCTATTTAAGCACACTGAGAGGATGGGAGGGGGTGCACAGGAGAAGTTTGCGTTACAGCCAGGCTAATAATGGATTTTTCAGTTCTGTGGCTGACCCAAGACATCTCATGGGAAAGAGGGAAATGATTCCAGTCAAACTGCAGGAGATACTTGGAGGTTTCGGTGAAACAAAGGGATCCTGAGCAACCCAGCAGGCTGTTGTTTGAGCCGCTTAACCTTCCCGATGTCACCGGGCCGCTTTTTGAAGCGGTGGCATCCTCGCTGGGAAGGAATCACAAATTCTGACCCAGACAATTGCGGGACAACAGAAAAAAACGAATCTCAGAACATTTAAAACTGGTGGCTTTGAACCCTCCCTCTTCTGGCTAAAAATATTCCCTGGATTTGACCTGGAGCCATGAATTCTTTCTGTCCCTTGAAACTCTGATTTTGTTTGTTTGCTTTTGACAATTCACTGTGTGCCGAGGAGCCCGCGCTGCCCACTTGGTGCAGCTGCAGCTCTGAGCCCTCCCCTGGGTCCCTTCCTCAGACCTGCTCTAACCCTGCCTTGCTTTCCACATACCCCTGGACCCCGTGCTCTTGACCAGGCAGTGCTGCTGCCTGCGTGTGCTCATCCTCGCCCTGCCCCAGGGACATGGCACCGTCCCTGCTCCCCTCTGCCAAACAGACCCCCCAAAACCTTGCTCCTCCATTGCGCTCTCTCCAAGCACAGCGGCAAACCCCGGCTGTTGGGCACCTTTCGGGAGCAGTAAATCCATCCTGCAGAGTGTTTGGCACAAGAGCGGTGTGAGGCTTTCGCTCTCTGGCTTTCTTCAGGGCTGGATCTCACCCACAGTCCCACAGCTGTGAGCCAAAGAAGATTTGTAGGTGGAATAAAGTCTTTCCCTTTTATTTGCATTAACCAAAATCCTTTGGCATGGCTAATAGCTGTAGGTACGGAGAGATGCCTGGAACAAATGCGTCTGGAATTAGGGAGGGAGAAAAGTGGCTGTACTTAGAGCACAAAAGAAGAATGAAATGCTGTGCAACATCATGCTGTGCGTGCCCTTGTCTGGCTGGTGATGTCCTGCAGGACAGGGAATGTGTTACTGCTGCTGCCCACCTGCAAACACCCCAGCAGAGACCTCCAGAGGGAAAATTAGCCCCAGGTCCCTGTGATTTGAGCTGATTTGATGCTTGTTCTTCCTCCCTGGATTTAGGATTTCGTTTTCTTTCATCTTCAGTTTTATCCCTAGCAGAACTGCAGGACTGCAGTTCCCAGGCAGCTTTGCCATGAGCTGGAACAGGGCGTCCATGACCATGGCCTCTCCCTTTCTGCACTGAGCCCTTGCTGTCCTCCTGCAGTCAGAACATCCCTGCCCGGGTCCCGATCTACTAATGGCGTTGCTCTGCTTCTGGTGCTGCCAGCCTCCCATGTGAGCTGCTGCCCCTCTTGTCTTTGACACGATGAAGGTACCAGTCCAGCTCCTTTCTGCTGTCCTCATGGGGACATGTTTCACTTGGGTCGTTGTTTCTCCCCTCTGACCTTTTAGCTGAGCAGTGGCCTTTCTAGATACTCCACGGCTGATGCTCACTGCTGCCTGCCCTCGCTGTGCCCTGCTGCTGCAGGGGAAGTGGTTCCCTCCGTGTTCCCCAGCTAAGAATGGTTCCTGGCTCCTTTCAAATCCCATCTTGCTCCTCAGCAAAGCAAACTGGAGGATACTAATGGCATGCGGGAGGCCTGGAGCCACTGAGGAGAAAATCCCCCTCAGAGCCTCAGTCTTCACTTGCCATTTTCTGTGTGGCACGAACAGCACACAGCACTGCGGCTGCTCTTCCTCCTTCTGCCCTTGCTTCATTTCCTCTCTGAAGGGAAATCCTTGCATTGCTCTTCATCTGAAGCCGGCCATGCTCTGCTGTTCACGTGTGGCTCACGCGTGCGGTGCCTGACCCTGACACCCTGAGCAGCACAGGAGCCTAGGTGGATTTGCTGTTTGTCCCAGACCACAAAACAGAGCCTTTTAGGAGTGCTCTGCCCCAGCCTTTGGCTACACCAGGCAGTCACTGCATGGGGGTGTTGGCCTCCTATTACTTATTTGATCCACAAGATTCCAGGAATTGGCGCCAGCTGTGCCCTACAGATGTGTCAGTGCTCTCCCCTCCCCATCTGCTCTCACGGCTTTGTGAAGTCCAGCAAACTCATGGAATTTGTATGTGCCAAAGAGCGGATTATCTCCTAATCCTATGGATGACAGCAGGCCTGGGCATGAGCCACAAAGAGCCTGTGAGGACATCAGGGGGGTGTGTCCGTGCCCTTATGCTCAGCCTTTGATGCCATGGAGGTGTCAGT